AGATCTGACTAGACCAGAGCATGTACACTGGTACAGATAAGAGCTCTCAATATGGAATCCAGGACAGATAAACCCCTCAGGACCAATAATGGGAGTACCAGTACCATGAGGGTGGGGGGAAAGTAGGGGGAGAAAGGGGGAACCAATCACAATGACCGACATATAACACCACCACCACCACCCCGCCCCGGGTGACGAACAATAGAAACATGGGTGAAGGGAGACAAGGGATGGTGTAAGATATGAAAATAATAATAATTTATAATTTATTCAAGAGGGTGGACAGGTCGGGGAGGGAGGAAGAAAATGAGAAACTGATACCAAGGGCTCAAGTAGAAAATGATGATGACAACATATGTACAAATGTGCTTGACACAATGGATATATGGATTGTTATAAGAGCTGTAAAAGCCCCCAATAAAAAAGATTTATTAAAATTTTAATAAAAACTTCCAACCAAGAAAAGCCTATGAACCAGATGGCTTCACAGAAAACTTCTCTGAAGTATTCTACGAAGAGTTGTCACCAATCCCACACATACTATTCCAGAATATAGAAAGGGAGAGTAAACTACCGAACAAGCATAACCCTGATACCAAAATCCCACCAAGACCCCACAGAGATAGAAAGCTACAGACCAGTATCCCTCATGAATAAAGACGCCAAAACTCTGGACAAAATTGGGGCCAATAGAATCAAACAACACATCAAAAAAATTCATCATAACCAAGTGGGATTCATACCAAGGAAGTAGGATGGTTCAACATGTGAAAAACAAGACCAAGTATAAGAAGTACATGAGGAATCAAGGGATGCAGGAAAAATATTTGACAATATCCAACACACATTCCTGATTTTTTTTTAAATTCAATAAAATAGGAATAGAAGGGAAACTCCTTAACGTAATAAAGGCCATATACAAAACTCCATGAACCAACATCATGCTTAACAGGGAAAAACTGAAAACCTTTCCCCTGAAAATGGGGACGAGACAAGGATGCCCCTATCGCCACTCTCATTCAGTATTGAGTTGGACGTCTTAACCAGAACCATTAGCAGCAGAAAGATCAAGGGAATAAAATTGGGCAAAGAAGAACCGAAACCCTCGGTATTTGTGGAAGATGTGGTTTCATAGAGAAAGAACCACGAGGACTGCCCACAAAGACTGTTGGAAATATGGAAGGCCTGGGTAAAGTAGCAGGATGCAAGATTAACAAGCAGGAACCAATTGACTTCCTATGTAGCAGTGACAAGAACACGAAAAAGACATCCACATAACAAGATCGTTTACAATAGCCATAAACAAGATGAACAGCGTAGGAATAAACCTAGCCAGAGAAACAAAAGACCTGTATGAAGAAGACTACAGAACATTGTTGCAAGAAACCAAAGAGACCCTTCTGCACAAGTGGAAGAACATGCCGTGTTCACGGATAGGAAGACATATGTTGTGAAAATATCAATACTACTGTAAGTAACCCACAAACACAATGCAATTCCAATCCAAATCCCAATTTCATTTATAAAGAAATGGAAAAACGAATTACCAACTTCATATAGAGTGGGAAGAGACCCAGGACAAGCAAAGAACTTCTCAAAAGAAGAACAAAATCTTTAATGACCACTACCATGACCCCAATTCTACCTTACAAATCCAGCTAGACCAGACCATGTACACGGTGCAGATAGGAGCTGAAAACAACCACAGGGAATCCAGGGCAGATAAACCTCTCAGGACCAATAATGAGAGTAGCAGTAACAGGAGTGTAAGGGGAAGGTGGGGGGGGAAGGGGAAACAGATCACAATGATCTACATATACCCCCTTCCAAGGGGACAGAAAACAGAAAAGTGGGTGAAGGGAGACAGTGTAAGACATGAAAAAATAATAATTTATAAATTTTCAAGGGTTCATGAGGGAAGGGGAAAATGAGGAGCTGATACCAAGGGCTCAAGTAGAAAGAAAATGTCTTGAAAATGATGATGGCAACAAATGTACAAATGTGCTTGACTCGATGGATGGATGGATGGATGGATGGATGGATGGATGGATGGATGCATTATGATAAGAGCTGTATGAGCCCCCAACAAAATGATTAAAAAATAATAATAAAGAAAAAGAAGAACAAAATAGGAGGTCTTGCACTACCTGACCTCAAAGCCTACTACTACACAACCTCAGTAGTCAAAACAGCCTAGTATTGGTACAACAGATGCAGAGACCAATTAGAGCAAGATAGAAAACCCGTAAATGAAAGCATCCACCTACAGCCAACTGATTTTGACGTTGGACCAAAAAGACATTAAATGGGAAAGGGGCACCTTCCAACAAAGGGTGCTGGACAAATTACATCTTCATCTGCACAAGAATGAAACAGGACCCAGAGCTTGTGCTATGCACAGAAACCAACTCCAGATGGATTTGAAACCTAAATATAAACCGCCAAGTGCCCAGGGTAGTGATGTTCTCCATGATGTTCTCCATCATGAAATGATAATGGTGCATCCAGTGAACCAGAGACATATATAAACCATAGTGCATTATAATTTGCATATCAGAGACATATATAAACCATAGTGCATTATCACTTATATCATATATAAAACAATGGTGCATTATCATTTGTGAACCAATGGTGAACCAGAGACATATATAAACCATAGATACATGAATGGATTTGGGGCTCGCACTTAATTATAGCCCCAATCTAAGAGCAATGAATTCTTATCACATGGTCCTCCTCAACACTCACATGATGAAGAGATCACTGACTATGTGGGTGCTATGGCAAAGTGTGGTGAAGAGAGTAGATGGTGTCAACTATCAGAAAGATTGTGTCTGGGGTCTTAAGGGCTTATCTTAAAAAAAAGCAGCCATCTCAGTGGGCTGTCAACTAAGTTTACATGAAAGAAACACACCAGCCTGTGTGATCCAAGAATTGTAAATAATAAAATCCAACTCCAAAGGAGAGACTGGTATTAGAGCTCAAATTCTGAACACCTAGTTTTCAGTTTATGGGTGACAGTAGAAGCCCCAAATCCATTTGCAGGGTCTCTCCAGTGAACCCTCTCTGACCCCGTCCAGGGATGTGAATAGCCTTGTTATCAGACAGAGAACATTATAAAGTCGATTATGACTGATGTAGTCAACACCTTATCATTTGATTTCCCCGTTGACTGATTTTAAAGTTGTTTGGGTTTTTAAATATTTTATCCTTTCGACTGAGGTCTTTGTTTTGTATTGTTGGGGTTTTGTGCTTGTGTTTTGATTTTATGTATAGGTAAACCTATAGAGATAGTAACTGTATTAGGACAGGGTAGGTTAGGCGGAAATGGGGAGCCAACAAGAATGAGTATGAGAAGAGAGCATTTTAAAATTGATTGTGGTGATGATTGCCCAAGTCTTCTAAATATGATTGAATGATTAAATTGTATGATATGCTAAGTATATGTCAACAAAACTAGTTCTTTTAATGCCAGCCAAGAGCGAGGGCTGGTGGCACAGTGGCTAATGTGCTCAGCTGCTGCCTTAAAGGCTGGCAATTTGAACACACGAGCCACTCTGGGGGAGAAAGACAGCACAGTTGGCTTCCACAACGATGCCCCACGGGGCAGTTCTACTCTGTCCTAGCGTGTCACTGGGCCGGGATCAGTTGGACAGGACCGGGTCTGGGCAATCAGCTGAGAGTGTGACAATGAAGACTGTGAAGTAGGTTCAGGGACTGCATGTGGGAGCAGTGTTCCTGAAGCTGCGGCCTCCACTAACCTGTGCCAAGGGGGCTGGAAGGTGGGAGATTGGAGGATCGTGGTTTGACGTACTAGTGGGTAAGAATTATTCAGTTCTAGGCCAAAGCAGGAGGAAGTGGTTTAACCCTCAGTCTTTATCTCTTCACTATTTTCCCTGCAAGCAGGTAGTGGCGTGGGAATGTGCTCCTGATAGGATGCTAACAGTATGGAAAATTGATAAGAGGAACATACTGTTTTATCAAACTATTTTCTCGTGGCTATAAAACTAGTACATGTGCCTTGTGGAAAATGTGGAAAGTACAGAAGGATGTAGAGATTAGGGAATAAAATAGATAGCTGCCAGCTACAGCTAACCTCTATTAAGAGTTCAGTGAAATTTCTTCCCATCAAACAGCCCAAATGCCATCAAATTGACATTCATTTTTCACTGTGCGTCCTACCAAGAGCATATTCCCACACCACTAGATATTTTTAGAAATATCATTTGAATTGATGCCCAACATTAAATCACGTGGATGTACCACAATTAACCTTTTGGTAATTTTGAGAGTTAAAATAACAAATTGACTTTTTGTTTTTTAAGTATTTCTAGAGCAAAACAATGCTAATATGCCTTTTTAAAAATATGACTTTAGGATAGAATCCAAGAGAGGAAGTTTGTAAGTCAAAGAGTATAAACATTTAAAGGACATTTAGATCAGATAGATTGAAAGATGACGATGATGATGGATGAATGGACCGATCTCTGAATTATTTGTCAGAAAGTTTGTTCTGACGTATACTTCTGCCTGCAGCATAACCCATTGCTGTTGGGTTGATTCCGATTCACGGCAGGTCTGCAGGATGGCACAGAGCTGTCCCCTTAGGGTATCCGAGGCTGTACCTCTCGCTAGAAGCAGACAGCCCCATGTTTATGCCACAGAGCGGCTGGTGAGTTCACACCACCAACCTTGCAAGGAGCAGAGTGCAAGTCCTGCCCCAGCAGGGCTCCTTCCTAGCTACAGAGCAGAGGTCTTCTTCTGTCATCCCCAGGCCCTGCTCACACTCAGGTAGTCCTCACCTCATACACAGGTACACAGAGAGCTTTATTTCCACCTGTGTTTCTTTTAAGAGGGTCCACAAAACAGTCACCACGTATCCAAATACAGGAAGGGAGCCTGATTTAGAAAAATGCAAGACTATGCAGGAGGTGACAGCTGACCTTGTCCCGCCTGAGGCTGCATGCTCAGAGCATCACCCCTCCATCCTCCTGCAGGCCTCCAAGGGGGATGGGAGGCATGCCTGGACCTTGAAGCACTTCAAGAAACTGACCTACTGCAACTTCTGCCACATCATGCTCATGGGCGTGCGGAAGCAGGGCCTGAGCTGTGTCTGTGAGTACCCCTCCTTCGAGCCCGTTCCCTCCGGGGCCTGGCTGGGCACCAGGTGGGGCTCCTCCGGAGAGGAGCCACCGTGTTGTCCAGCTTGTGTTCTCCTGAAGGCTAATGGCCCTGCCGTCTCCTGTGGCTGGCCTTGTACCCTCCCCGTGGCGCACCCTCGGAGAAGGGAAGCGTGTCTCATGCTCATTTGAATTGGGATTTGCAAGTGACTGTTGTTGGGGGGCATGGCATGGCTTTTTTTAAAATGAATAAGCAGTGTGGAACTATGTTTTCTGAATACAATGAAAATTAGAATTGTATGCTCTGTCATAAGATCCATTTAGGAGAGTCAGGGGCGAGAGGAGAAGAAAAAACAAACATTCAAGTGAGAGATGGGGACAAAAAAGAAAGGGAGACCAGAAAGCGGGCGGCAGAAGGAGCTGCAGGGCAAAGCAGAAAGCAGAGGTGAGGTGGATAGAAGGTCGCCTGTGCACAGGAACGGGGGACTGCTCTCCTGAGAAAGGGCTACCCCACCCTGCAGACAGCAGACACTCAGATGGAGGAGCTGGTGCTGTGGGAAGCTCCCTGGGTGCAGGGCAGAGTGCCAAGGGGTCTCAGCAAACATGCACATGGGAGTTAGCAGGCAGCCTCTGCCACCAGTCTTTCTTCGTAGCAGAACTGGGCCCAGTGTCCACCAAGAGCAAGCCTCAGCAGCTAAACAAGGTGCCCTCCACGTACACCCCACCTCCCACCCCCCGGCTGCCCCGGGTCCATTCAGACCCAGGCCTCACCCACTCCCTTTAGACTACTCTCATCCTGCTGCGGTCCAGGCCTGTGGGCCTCTGCTGGTCCCCCAGCCATGAGGACCAGTAATCGTTACAACTATTATAGTGGTTAGCAGAATAGCTACTGTGACACAGATGCGCGGTGCTGTGCACAAATTAGCTCATTACATCTTGCAAATCCCCTGTGAGAGAGGCACTTCGATTCCCACTGTACAGATGGAAACCCCAATGCTCACAGAGGGGGGGAGCCATTTACCCAAGAGCGTAGGAGCAAGGACAAAGGGCAGAGCTAGAATTCAGACCCAGGCCCACCTCCAAAACCCCCCGCCCTTTCCATCCACTCACCGCCCCTGACATGGATACTGTGCCACTGGCATGACCAGGACAATGACACTGCCCTTAAGGGACAAGCGTCTTTCTGGAGCTGTTTTTCCGGCGGCCTTTGCTGCCCACGTGGAAGCCAGTGTACTGAGCGGAGGTGGACAGAAGGCTGTTTGGGAGATAACTTTGGGCTCTCTTCCCAGCAAACCATTGGAAAGTCTGTTGTTGAATTTCCATAGGCGAGGCTGTCCCTGTATGACGCCCGCCCGGAGGGTGGCACAGCCCCTCTTGGGTTGGGAGGTGGCTTCCACTTTCTTAGAATGGCTCCTAATTAGCACTCGTCTTAGTACTTATGTACCTTCCTTTGCAGACTGCAAATACACTGTACACCAACGCTGTGTGTCCAAAAACATCCCTGGGTGTGTCAAAACGTATTCAAAAGCCAAACGGGGCGGCGAGGTGAGTGATGTCCATTGCCTTGTTCATCCATTGCCTTGACAACCACGCTGGTCCCGGGCGGGATGGCCACCACCACAGACTGGGCCCCAACGGGGTGTGAACGCCTATCCAGTCCACTCTCTGCTTTGAGAACCTTTCGTAAGCCATCCCTTTCATCCATTGAGCCATTCAGCGTCTCTCCGGTGCCTCCTGTGCACCAGGATCTACAGTAGGGTATGCAGGTCATGAGAGGTGGTCCCTAGCCTGCTTAAGACCTATGCCATCTCTCGAGCAAACATGGCCCCAGAGTACAGAGTCATGAGGTGCAGGCCATGTCTGGGGTGGGGTAGGGACGGGTGAAAGACCATGGAAGAAAAGATTTCCCAAAGGAAGCATCTGAGTTGTGTTCGAACCACAATCAGGACAACTCCACGGGGTGTGACCGAGAACCCCTGAAGATGTGACTGATTCTGGGCTCCACACTGGTGTGTCTGAGATAGAGGACGCTTAAAGGGAAGTAGCAAGAGCCGTGCTCTGAGAGCCAGCCTGAGGGAGACCGGGTGAGGCCACTGAGGGCTTTGCTCTGCAGCTAAGACGGCCGCTGGAGCGCTTTAAGGCAATGAACATTCTGGGTTTGTGAATTATGCTCATCGCTCCGATCGTAGTGGAAAAGACAGTGCGTCTCTGAGGCGCCTGTGACTAGCCCGGGCTCATGCCCTCCCTGTGCTCCCATCTGCTGAGGAAGCGAAGTCCCGGGGCCAGCTGTGCATTCCCACGTTGAGTTTGTTAGCTCTCACCCAGGATAAGCTACAGGATATGAAGGAGTGCTTGAGAGATCGTTGGGAGGTACCACCACTGGGACTTGTGATGGGGACATTGGGGAGGACACAGGTGGGGGAGGGGTGGAGGTGGCACCTGTGTTTCTAAACTGGCCACTAAGTAAAACGTAAGTGGAAATAAAGAAACAGCTGCGATGGAGTCACCTGGACTCACGGTGACCTCACGTGTGTCAGGGTAGAACCGTGCTCCAGAGGCTGATCTCTGAGGAGTCGTTCTCCAGGCCTTCCTTCTGAGGCACCTCTAGACGTGAGTCACCAGCCTCTCATGTAGCAGCCAAGCGCTCAGCCACGGACACCACCCGCAGGGAGCCCTGGGGGTGCGATGGGTTCCCAGTCAGGCTGCTGAGCACAAAGTCAGCAGTTCAAAACCACCTTGGGAGAAGATGAGGTTTTCCACTCTCCTAAGGAATTAGACCTCAGAAACCCGCGGCAGGGTTCCTCCTGTCCAGCAGTTCTGCCCTCTAGGTTCACAGTGAGTCAGAACCGAGCCGATGGCAGAGAGTCTGAGTGAGCAGGTCCTAGCATGGCTATTTTGGCTGTTAAGTGGTTTTATTCAGTGCCAGGAAATAGGCATTCCCCAAAATTTGCAGCGGAAGGCACTCAGCTCCTACAGAGGTGAGATCCCATTGAGGAATCTGTCAGGAGGGAGGTGTTTAGCAATGTGAGTGGTACCCAGTCCTCCCAGAAAGGACTTCTGAGAGAGGAAGTTCTCTCTAAGAACCTGCGTGCATGCCCCATTGAGATGTTGCACGGCTTCGTCCACACCAGCCACCCCTTACCCATGCACCTCCCCTCCATGCACATGCCTTCACCAGGACCCAGGGCACCCAGCTGCGCGGTGAGCCCGTACTCTGGCCACCTGCCACGCACTGAATGGACAGGCACCAGAGGGGCAGCAGGGCATGTTCACAACCCTCTGATCCTGCCAGACAACCCAAGTCCCTCCCCATCCCTTCTGCTTTCAGAAGAGGACAGAGAAGGCAGCGTGTGTGTGCAGAAGATCCCTAGGCTTGGAGTCAGAAGGCCTGCTTGGCCACTTGGCCACCATGTAGCATGGGGCCAGTCACTTAACCTCCCTGCGGCCTCTTTTACTTCCTCTCTGCATGATCATCTTAGTCGAGCTGACACATCGCCTGGGTTCTTGGCATGCTCAGAGGTAGAAGGTTAGATGCTACCCACTAATGACACATCAGTAACTCAATTCCTACCTAACTTGAAGCATTTCCTTTTATTGAATCCAGACAGGAATATTGCCATGCACGTCTTTCCTGGGATATTAATATCATACTTGTCATTGGACACTCCAGGCCTTGCCCTGGACTCTCCCACAGTCCCATTCTGTTCGGCTCCTTGGCAGAATTTCCAGAGATGTCCTGGAGAGAGCGCTCTGCTGAGGGCTCGTGCCCTAAATAACAGTGTCACCACCCAGCTGCTGTCACCCAGGCATCTCACACATACACACACATGTCCGTGTGCTTCCCAACTTCCTGGGCTCCTGGGGCCATCGGAGAGGTGGGAAAGCTGCTGGTCAGAGCCCTTCCTATTTGGGGGACTTTGGGTCAGATTTCCTGCTGGAGTGAGTGTGAACCATGGACACACATTATCGTCACCAAGAGTACTTTAACGTGTACAAGTGATGGGCCCCACCTCCTAGAGACCTTATGTTAGTCTGGGTTGACTAGAGAAACAAATCTAAGGAGACTCATGTGTATAAGAAAGAGCTTAATATAAAAAGGAATTGTATATTAAGAAAACATCCCAGCCCAGTCCAGATCAACTCATAAGTCTGCTATTAGCCCATATAGCTAATCTCAGTCTGTAAGTTCCTCTTCAGACTCACGCGACACATGCAATGATGCTGAATGCAGGAACATCACAGGCTGGTGGGTGGAAAGTCTTGGGGATCCAGTGGCGGTAAAGCATCTCAGCACTGGCAGGGGTCTCCATGTGGCTCCTCCAGCTCCAGGGCTCTGGCTGCATCCGCATAGCTCCCTGTGACTTATCAACACGATTAAGAAGCAGAGAGTGTAGGTATGGCCTCCATTGAGCTATTTGTCTCCATAGCTCCTCCAAATGAGGTCATCAAGTTGTGACCTGATCGACAGGCTAGACTCTACCCCTTCGCAAGTTGACAGGAGATTATGTAACTGCCACAGACCCTAATTTATTTGGCCTGCTGTATGGGGTCGGCTTTGGGCTTCCCTGCGGTCCCAGGTAGCTTACCTGCACAGTGGAGGCATACAGTCCGTGACCTACAGGAGGCAGGAAGGGAAGGGAGGCCTCCGAACGGTAGGCGCTGTTCCAGAAGGGCCCTCTCAGAGGTGGGGGCATACTTTGCCCATTTTTGCATAGGCGCAGAGAGGTTCCGAAGTGCCTGTTTGGTCCCCGGCCTTTCCCTGCACCTCCAGAAGGGGGCGCGCACGAGCAGGACACAGAGATGGACTGCCAGACAAGACGTTGCTGAGAAGCTTGCCTGCCAGGGCGCAAGAGCTAGGCAGAGCCGTGCGCAGTGGCTTCTTGTCTCTTGATTAGCACGCTATCGCCCAGGCTCTGCTTCCAGCGCTCGGCCCCGGGTGCGGGGCGCGGGGCGTGGTCTGCGGCCTTCCCTGTGTCTGTCCCTTCCCGCCCGCAGGTGATGCAGCACGCGTGGGTGGAAGGGAACTCCTCCGTCAAGTGTGACCGGTGCCGCAAAAGTATCAAGTGCTACCAGAGTGTCACCGCGCGGCACTGCGTGTGGTGCCGGATGACGGTGGGTTGGCGTCCAGGCAGCTCTGGCTCCTTGGAGCCTGGTTTTGCCCCAGCGACGTCAGGGGAGCGATGGGCACCCTACCAGAGGGCATGTGCACAGCCAGGGGAGCGAGGCTGCGGAGGGCCCCAGAGCCTCCCACCGCCCAAAGCCCTGAGTCTAACAGTGCTTCCAGCAAAGGTCCCAGCTGCCCAGAGAGCGGGCACCCCAAACCAGGCAGCCAGGGCTGCTGGAGAAGTGGCTAGCAGCCACTTACGTGTGTGGTGTGTGTGTGCGTGTGTGTCGGCAGCCCAGGGCTGCAGCTGAACCACGGACTGCCTGTGGCCGGGCATCACCAGGGGCCAGGCCACTGTCAGAGAAGGAGAGAAGGAGATGCCAGGCTCCCCTGACACGGAGGCAGAGGCAGGGTGCCCTCCCAAAGACACACCCTTAGAGCCACATCACAGCCATGCCCAGGAGCACCCTTGCTGCTGCAGTGGGAGCCGGAGCCCAGCCCCCTCTGGAAACCCAGAGTGCCACCGACAGCCCCTGAGCTGTCTGACTGCCTGCAAAGCCAACTTGGGGTCCCTGCCCGGCCCCTGGAGCCGGAGGCTTCTCCCACCCGGACTGCAGAAGTGGAGGCACTGGGGTTGCTTCCATCCCCCAGGAAGCTTGTCCGTCTGCTTTCAGAGTCTCAGAGACTCGACAGGGCAGCTCTCCGAAGGGGGTGCCACAGTGCCTCTTGGGGGATGGCGGGGAGTGGGGTGGGGGACGGGACTGATCTGCTCCAGCAGCCACGGCCAGCACTGTGGTCTCCTTCGCTACCCACAGCCCATGTGGGGCCCCTAGACTGGCACACAAGCACACACCAGAGGGCAGGCCTCCCGGGCAGCCTCTCACCTTTCCCGGGCCCTTTCCCCACTCTCATCTTCGCTCTTTCCTCCCAGTTTCACCGCAAATGTGAGCTGTCCACTGTGTGTGATGGCGGAGAACTCCGAGACCATATTTTGCTGCCCACCTCCATCTGCCCCATCACCCGGGTATGTACCCCCGGGCCCGGTTCCTCACGGTCCACCTTCCAGGTGTAGAGCGGGGGCAGCCCCCGCTCCCCTCCCGGGAGGTCTCCGCGCAGCTCTCAGGCTTGCGTGTGTGTTACCATAGCAGAGGTCAGGGCGGCAGGAGCCGGATGCTCAGGGAAAACGCCTCTGGCTGAACTGCTTCCGGTGCCAGCCACCACTCGCGAGGCTCTGAAAAGGGCAGAGCAAGAGAGCAGGACAGTGCCAGCACCCTGCAGGCTGCACGCAGCCCAGGAGCCGGGGACACCACGCACATGCGCAGGCCTCCCGCGGCGCCACGGGCGACCTCTCTCGGCCTGGGAGCTCCCTCTGCCTCGGGATTTCCAAGTGGGTGTCCCAGGCCCCTTGGGAAACTAACACGTCATGAAATTGGACTGAATTTTCATTCCCACCTAAGACGTTCTCTTGGCTCCTGAGTCGAAGACTCCATTCTTAAAACCAAGCACCCAGTGCTTCCTTCTCCTCGCGTCTGAGAGCGGGGCCAGGGCCCACTGACGCCTCCGTCTTACCGTCGACTCCACCAGCTGTTGCTTCTGCAAAAGCTAAGACACGCCATTTGGCAGGCTCATTAACTCAGTGGAAGTACACAGACTGCTGTTACTGTGAGGTGCACAACACCACAGCACTGCCAGGTCCTGTGCCAGCCTCAAAAGTGGTGTCAGGTCTGAGCCCATCGATGCAGCCACTGTTAAAGTGGCTCTCCTGGGCGGCCCTCTCCTTTAGGATGACCTCCTTCTCCAAGGAGTGGTCTCTCCTGACAGCGTGGCCAACCCCGTGAGCTGAAGCCTCGCCACCCTGGCTCCGAAGGAGCCTCCTGGTTGGCTGTCGGCCAGCACGGGTGCTTTTGTCCTTCTGGCCACGCATGGTCACTTTGATCTTCTTCTCCAACACTGTCATTCAAATGCATCCACCCTTCTTTGTCCCAACAAGTCCCCTCCTTTGCACATACCTGAGGGCCATGAGTATTTCAAACACCAATAGATAGAATGCTGCACAAAAGTGGTCACGGTAGCATTATTCATACCGATTGTAAATGGAGGGAAGGGTAAATACATGGAAGTGTATTCATACAACGGAACACTGTGTTACCGTGAAAAAGAACAAAGTGCAAGAGGTAAAAATATGGAGCATCTTGAAAACAACAGATCACTCAGGTGAAGTCACGGCCCGTGGTCCCCAGGTATGGCATTCAGAAAGCAGGTTTGGAGAGTCTGAATGGGGTCGTGCTTGAAAGGGTCGTTCTTACAGGGCTGTGTGCATGTATAAACCCTCAACCAGCTGCACCCCTGAGACTTGAGCACGTGACTGTATATGACCTCAATCAAATAAATAACAAATGGGGGGCGGGGGGGGGGGGGACTAACTACAAGCAAAGCAAACAAAAGCTCAGCTTCTCAGTCAGCAGTAGAGGTTTCTGCTGAGTCAGTGTCCCCGCACTCCCCCCTGTCCCTTGCCAGGGTCCCACAGTTAAACTTACAGCGAGTCTCGAAATCCAGAGAGGAACATTCCTTTTCTTTGCTCCCAAGTCCCCACTTTGGAAAGCCCCTCCCCTCCCTTAGACAGCCTTCTGTTTTTTGGTTCTGGACTCTTGCTTCAATATTAACCATTCCTTTTCCCAAAAGATGCTTCTCTCTTCTCCCAGGACAGGCAGTGCGGGAAATCTGAGGGCAGTGCGTCCGCCAAAGGCGACCTTGTAATGCAGGTACGTCCACCAGCCTCAAGTCTGAATTTCTCATGATAAATCGGTCTCGTGAGTACCAGAGCCTAAATGGTGAGGATCCGGTTTGCAGACGGCAATGGATGACAGTGGGAGCCCAAGATTCAGTGGGTGAACCACTTGGGAAATAAGACTCCAGAGAATCCCCCATCTAAAATCAAGGGAAGGGAGGAACGTGGTCACTAAACAGAGTGCTTGGGAAAGAAGAGTATAGGAGATCAAAGGCATCAATCTGACGTCAACAGTTAAAACTTTGTCAGTAGGTCCCTCCTGTGATGCAGGCTGGCCCTGATCTGGTTTCCAGAATTTTCTGTATTTTTGGTTTGTATTGTTTTCTTCGGTTTTTGTTTGTTCCTTTTAGAGTGTATCTCGGTGGTGTATGTCAATGGAGGTCGCCCTCTTGACGTGTGTTAAATAATGCTCTTCCGTTTTTCAGTGCATGAAATCTAAGATCGATGATTCTAGAGAAATAGCAAGTAGAATAAGGGGGCCGGGGTGGGCGGGGGTACAGTGTTGGGGGCGGGGCCATCCAAAGGGAGACAATGTCAAGAAGTCCCTGAAGAAAAAGAATGCTTGGAAACTGATGGTGGTAGCAATTGCACATGCTACTTGATGTGATTGAAATTGGGAATGATGTGATACATGTATTAAATCCCAGCAACTAATAAAAATAAATTGATAATTAAGTCCCAGCTGTGCCAGGGAGGAGAGTTTGGATTCTAGAACCTCTGCTTTCTCACCTGGTCTGTTATGCCTCTCAGGAAGGTACTTTATTTCAGCCTTCGGACATGTTTTCAAACACTACATTGGACGCAAGCGGTGAGGCTAGAGGCCGGTTGATCCCACGCTGCCTGAGTGACCATCTCTCTTTCTTTAGGGACAAATTACACAAAATGTCCACTTGTAGACATCTTTAAATAATAATAACAGTGTGGCCTGAACACAGACATGCTGTTCCAAGACTGCCAAGCTGTCTCTGGAACATGATCTTACAGAATGAAGACACATTTTTCTTAATCCTCAAATGTATATCTAAGAAACCAGCAACCCATGCTCTGGAGTTTTTTGTTTGTATTTTTTAACTTGGTGTTTTAGGCTGGGCTGTCTAGAGAAACAAAATCAGTGACACTCATGTAGGTATAAGAAAGAACTTTATTGGGTGAAGGGAGACATGGACAGTGTAAGATATGACAAAGTAATAATTTATAAATTATCAAGGATTCATGAGGGAGTGGGGAGCGGGGAGGGAGGGGTAAAAATGAGCTGATGCCAAGGGCTTAAGTGGAGAGCAAATGTTTTGAGAATGATGAGGGCAATGAATGTACAAATGTGCTTTACACGATTGATGTATGTATGGATTGTGATAGGAGTTGTATGAGCCCCTAATAAAATGATTTTTTTAAAAAGAGTTACCATCGTGGAAACGCACAGGGGACGTTCTGCCCTGTCCTGCCAGGTCACCATGAGTCGGGGTTCACTCAGTGGCGGGGAGAAGCAGCAGGAAGTAGGAGCCGAGCGTCGAGGTGGGGATGCCCAAGACAGGCAGCTGCGAGCAAGGGGTCATGGAGAGAGAGCGGGGCCGTGTGAGGGGACTGTGGAAAGCCCTTGAGTGTGTTCAGAGAAGTGGGTTCTATCCTCTGGGCGTGCTTGATGTGGAAGTCCAGGAACTGGTACAGAAGTGAACGGGGTAACCTGAGCAGCATCAGGGCGGTGGAAGTGTTGAGAAGGCTGCCCGAAGTCATGGGGCACGCCAGTGGGGAAATCAGGGAGACGGTGTGTTCCTGCATAAAAACCAACCCCCACCCACCCACTGCCATCATGTCCCTTCCGACTCAGCCTCATCTTTCTCCCTTGGGATGCCGTGTGGCATTGAACCACCGGGCTTGCCGAGAGCAGTCGGCTGCTTGCCTGACAGCACCGCCAGTGCTCCCCACCTCCCACCCCAGCCCCCCACCCCCCGGGTAAATGGACGAGTAGTACTATCTTTAGCAGAAGCAGGAAACCCAATGTGAAGGCCATTTTCATGGGGTAAAACAATAGATCAAGTGTGGGGCATGTCAAGTTTGTACAAACGGTGAGGCATCGAGTGGAAGGACATTGAGAAACATATTTCTATGATTAAAATAGATGCAACACCTAAAGGGGGGTGGGGTGTATATGCAGAGCTCAGGAAGGAAACTGGAGCTGGAAATGCAGGTTTGGAAGACACAGGGCTGGCAGGGACAGTTAACCCTATGAGGAGTGGTTCGTTTACCTGTAGGACCAGACAGCCATACCGCCTAAGATTTCTGAGATGGTGGTGTCCCTCACGAAACCGAATTCTGTGCTGCGACTGTCATTGAGCCATCGCTCCACTTCTGATCGTGACCCCAAACCCTTGTCCTTGTCCCCATTAGCAACACTGAAAAGGTCGCTCGAACTGTGGACTCTCCGTGTAGGTCCTCAGAACGTCGCCTGCGACCAGCCTCACCTCCTCACCTCTTGCCGTGCCCGGCCGCTTCCCTACCACCATGCCCAGAACCTGCCTTCGCCCACGATGAAGCAGAGCTCACATCCTTTCCTTTTACTTTCTCAGTACCAGATCATCCCCAACCCGGGAACCCACCCCCTGCTGGTCTTTGTGAACCCCAAGAGTGGAGGCAGACAAGGAGAAAGGTATGTTGTCTTCTTCGAACTCAAGAGGCTAGGATAATCTCATTTGGGCCCTCCCCTCAACTGAAGCTGAGTAGACTGTGGAGACAGGCCAGCCCTGGGTTCAAATCCCAGCCCTGCCACTTAAACCACTTCATGACTGATCCAGTGAACTTAACCTCCCCCTGCCTCAGTTTCCGCCTCTGTAAAACAGGGGTGATTGTGTCCCCTCTCCTATGGGTGGTGTAAGGATTAAAAGGGCCAAAGTGCTGCTCCCAGCCCCTGTCCCATGGGCCAGCAGTAAGGCTCCAGGGGGTCAGCCCCAGTCGGTGATGCCTGCTTCCTTCCTAGCCCCCAGGTCTTTCCCCCAGGATGTGGGAGATGTGGCAGGACTCCCCTGACTGGGACCTGCTGGCCTGCCCCACCTCTGAGAAGCCAAAACTGCCCTCAGCAGTGGAGGGAATGCCTAGTCTACGGGGGGGAGGGGGGGGGGCTCTCAGCAAGTGGGAGGCAAGAGGGAGAATGTGGGAAAGGGCTTTTGCCCCCTGTCCAGCTCTGAAGTGATGGATGGATATGCACAATCTAGAATCCAGTTTAAAAAATAATAATAAGTAAGGTTAAAACAAGAAACCAGAAGGACTCCTACCCCAGTCCAGGTGACAAAACACCACCCCCAACCCCGAGTCACCTAGAGACCGAGCCGATGTAGAGTCACTGGCCCGCAGGCCTGGCCAGCCCCAGGCCTCCTGCACCCCTCTTGTTCCTGGGAGCAAGGGGAGCCTTCCCCTAGCAGTGGTTCTCAACCTTCCTAATGCCGCAACCCTTTGATACAGTTTCTCATAGTGTGGTGACCCCAACCATAAAATTATTTTCAGTGTTACTTCATAACTGTCATTTTGCTACTGTTATGAATCGTCATGTAAATATCTGATATGCGGCATGTATTTTCATCGTTACAAATTCAACATCATTCAAGCATAGTGACTAATCAGAACACAATATGTAATTATATATTGTGAAATATTTGTGTTTTCTGATGTGTTTTCAGAGGCGACCCTGTGAAAGGGTCGTTTGACCCCCCCAAAGGGGTCTCGACCCACAGGTTGAGAACCGCTGTCCTAGCGGGTTCTTTGATGCCTGTGTACTGCCCACAGAACGCAGAACAGGAGGGACTGTTGAGAGCGAGGCCTAGAAGAACAGGGTTCTGATCGCGGGGTTCCTCTGCCCTGTCATTGCTACACTGGGGATGCTCCCGGGGGTGGAGGTTAGAGCCCAGGGGCGCGGGGTGACCTGAAGCAGGAAGTGAAGCCATGGTGATTCCAGGTGAGTGTGCAGGACTTCACTGATTGGAGTAGGCCCTCATTCCCAGCGTGGATGGGCTCACAGGTGCTTGCCCTCCATGTAACTTCCCAGGATGACATTCTCCCCCTCTGTCGCCCCCTTTCTTTTTTTGTTCCATAGAATTCTTCGGAAATTCCACTATCTGCTCAACCCCAAACAAGTGTTCAACCTGGATGGTGGGGGGCCTACCCCAGGGTATGGAGCTACATTCTTTACATCCGTCCCTGTCCCCCCTGACCCCCCACTCCCTCACCATTCATTACCGGCAGCTGGAACAGCGACCTTCCTGCTTCCCTATCTTTCTGGCGCTTTGCCTCGGCGCTCACCCTGGACTCCCATCATGCCTCTTTCCCACGTGCTTCTCCAGCTTCTCCAGCTTCTCCAGCGTTCTCCTGAAAAGGCTCAGGAGCTCCCTTCGGTCCCAGAAAAAGCCAGTGAGCGTAGAGGAGGGAACTGTCACTGCCATTCGTTTGCCCGGAGGTCTGGCTGCTAAACTGTTTTTACTTGTTTGCAAGTCTCTGTGAGCTGATCGCTTCGGGCTGAAAGAGCAGGGAGGAGAAAAAGAGTTGTGGGTCTGCGGTTTGGAATCTAGTTCTGCCATGTGTTCTATTGCCGGTCGTGATGAATTTCTCTTCAGCCAGTTGTGTCTCCTCAGTGATGTAATCTGGAGGTTCCACTACCCGGACCCTTCTGCTCCCGTTGGCTATTGCACTGCTCACTCGTAGAGGGTTAAAGAGCGCAGCAAAGGGACAGCCTGCCTGGGGTTCCTGCTGGTGGCAGGAGCTGGTCCTGAGTGATCTACTTCCACACCTGAGCCAAGGCTCCTCCGGGGATGCAAGTGCGCTAGTGACACCTGCTGGCGCGTTCCGGGACTGCACTTTGTCCCAGGATTTGCTAGAGCTGGGCTCGGCTTTCCCAGCCAGCCTCCTAACCCATCACGTCCACTCTGGGTTTTAGTAAGATCCCTCAGAGGGGCAGAAGTAGCCACCACCCCCACCCCCAACAAAGTAATCTGTCACTGACCTCGCTTGTCTGCCATACAGCTGTTATTTGAGGCAATGGCAGTGCAAACCCGTTAGAGAGAGAAGGAAGCCTGAGCGCACAGTTCACCTGCAAACCCAGTTTCAAAGCAGCTCCCTAAAGATAGCCCCTGGCAGCACAGGAGCTCCCTCTCCTCCCAAGTATTTCCATACCTGGGCCCAGAATTCAAGCCTCGCCTCCAGAAACCAACACAACGGCTGCTTAAGGGACACCCCTTGCGCGTCAGGTAGACTGTGCTGGGGGGTGGGGTGGGGGGTCAGCAGCTGATTTTTCAGAGGTAGATCTCCAGGCCTTGCCTCGCAGGCACCTGTGGGCGGACTCACACTGCCAGCTTTTCGGTTAGCAGCTGAATGTGTCAGTCCTTTGCATCCCCAGGGACTTCAGCTTTGCCATGTCCACCCCCGAGTGGCTTGGCTCTGGTGACACACCAGCTGACTACATCCCAGTGCTGACGTGGCCCGAGCATCTATGGGGTGAGGGTCAGGCTATGGTAGGACAGGCTGTCAGACTGAAGGGCCCTCCTTCAGAAAGTACTTCCTACAGGAGATCCGAGTCTGTGAGAGACGGGAAAGAGCAAGAATGATGATGTCCCCCCAGCGGCAGCAATGACTCAGAGAGCCCGGGGTCTTGTCTGACCACCAGCCTGGGCAGGGCACTAAGGTGGAGCTTCGACGGGCCACATCTGTGCTAAAGCAGTTGTTCTAAACCTCTTTGTGCCGGGAGCCCTGTGGCTGTGCTGAAGCCCATGAACTTCTTCTCAGAACAGTGGTTTATTTTTTGTTTTGCTTTTTTTCCTTTAATGCGTGAAAGGATTCACAAAGGAACTCGTTACATTGAAAAATGGTTGTTGATATATTTTTTTAAGTTGGAATAGATGTCCTTCCCTGGCACATTGAATAGTATGATCCAGAGATGGGCCTAATCAGTACCATAAATTCAGTCTTATTCAGTCTTGATGCACATCATGCAATGGCGCCCCAACTGTAATAAAATTAAAAAGTATCTTTGAATGTCGACTGCTGGCAACATCACAGTGTAATCCATTCATAATAGAAGGAAATGTTGAATTTCCATTGGAAGCTGAGGAAGCGAGGAATGGAATTTTTTTGCCCCTCCAAATTCCTGGCCCTCTGGTTTGTACTCCATGGTGGTTCGCAGACCGGGGGTTAAGAGCCCCCCTCTAAAAGGTAAAAAGGGTCTGGCGGACAGAGGGTCTTGCACGTGTGGGTGGCCAGCCCCGGCGGTTCAGCACACCACACCCAGGGAGAGCCTGCAAGGACAAAGAGGGTGCAGCATCTACAGGGAGCCAGACGCGGGCAGTTGGTCAGATCAGTGCCAAAATGTGCGTTCTTCTGTACAAATCACAGAGAATGTCTAGAAGACCCTCTTCTGTTTGAGTTCACACTGAGTCTGCTCCTCCTCGCACACCAGCCCCTCCCGGGACATTCCTCCCTCCTCCCTGGCCTGGCTGAATGGGTGGTGGGCTTAGAGGATGAGTGGTCTCTCCAACTCCCGCCCAGAGAGCAGAGGAGGCTGACTCAGCAGGGGTCAGCTGCCCACCACAGCCTAGTAAGCAAGACATTCCGCCTCTTTTCTACTTCCCAGATTGAACTTTTTCCACGGTACCCCCGACTTCCGTGTCCTGGCCTGCGGAGGAGATGGCACAGTCGGCTGGATTCTGGATTGCATCGGTGAGAAGGGGCGGGAGAGCTTGTACCATTTGGTTAGAGGAAGCACAGGAAGCCAACAGAAAGGCATTGAAGAGGGAGAGAAATGGAAAGCTGTCTTGTTCATCTGGAGCCAGGGCTTGACTAAGTGGGGGAAGGGGCCGCAAAAAAACGGAAATGAACAATGGAATGATGCCCACAGCTCCAGATGTAGCATTTTCATTGCAGGTCCGGCCTCAAAAATGTTTCTCTTGAAAATAATTCACCCAGGAGATGAAAAGGTCCGAGTAAAGTCATTACGCTCGTAGTGGGTCCCGGCCAGGGCCGAGCCTGGGGAGGGACCCTCTGTGTGAGTGAATGCCTCCCATGGGCCCCAGAGGAGCAAGAGAGGCTGTCCTCTATGAAGATGCTCCCTGCCTTCTTGAAAAGGCAACGGTTTTAAAATTATTTTAATCTTAAAACCACCTCACAGGGTGGGGGTGGGGGCAGTGGCAGCCCGTGGCAGGGAGGCAGCACTGGGGTCCCCCCAGGCCTGTGGTGTGGAGTACAGGCCAGAGAGCTCACAGAAAGGCAGTCAGGTCAAAGCCCCTTGGAAGAACTGGGCACGTGAGTCCTGAAAGCTCATGAAGGAAGTGTCGCTCCACGCAGAACAAAGGGCCACTCTGGGCTCGCTCCGCATGCGCCTCTATGAGAAGGGCAGCAGACAGGGTGTGCACAGGGTCAGCAACCTGGCCGCCAGTCCAGCGTAGCCTGCGCCTGTGGGTCCTTGGACACATTCCTCCCCTCTAAGTGGACCCTGAAATCCTGGGACGAGAAGGACATATCGTCAAGATCTAGCCCTGGGAGCCCAGACAGCAGCAGGAGTGGGACCGACACAGGACAAGGTGAGGGTGGACACCAGCACCAGCGACTTGGCCCAGAGAGACGGCGGAATCCAGGCTTCTGAGGTCCTCCTGCCTCTGTGCCAGCGCTCTCTCAGAGGCCCTGGAGATACAGCAAGGACCCACAGAGCCAAGGATCCGGCCCTCGTATTTACTGTATGGAGGACACAGGTAGTCAAGCAAGCAAGAAGGAAGATCATGGTCCGTCTGCGGGTGGCCAGAGGAGCCCCAGAGGTGCTGGAGGATGGGCTGCCATCAAAGACCTCGCAGAGAAGATGGCTTGACTTCGGGCCCAAAGAAGGTGTGAACCATGTGCTGGCCTGAGGGAAAAGCCTTTCCGATGGAAGGAACAGCAAGTGCAAAAGGCCCTGTGGAAGGAGCAGACCTGGCCTGCGAAGACAGCAAAAAGGCCAGTGTGACCTGCAAGCACACTGTGCGCGTGAGTGGAGAATGGCAGGGGGTGAAGTCTGGGGGCTAAGGCCAGGTCACCGAAGCTGCAGCGTAGCAATACGGCTTATTTGACTGGGAGAGCCATAGGGCATGGATAGTCTGGGACCGAGCAAGGACATGTCAGAGAAAAGAGACCAGGTATGAGGCAGGCCCTGGACCGTGTAAATGGTTAGTTCACTCAGCTGCCGACCCAAAGGGTAGAAGTTTGAGACTACCCAAGGCAGCAAGGAAGAAAGGCCTGGTGGTGTACTTCCACGAACTAACTCTTAAAAACCCTATGGAGGACAATGCTACTCTGACACACGAGTCACCGCGAGCCAGGCGTGACCAGTGACCTGGACCAGGGCGAAGCAGAGGAGCTGGTGAGAAGCGGAGAGATTCTGGATGGCATTGGAAGATTGAGCGCGCAGGGGCGGTGGACGGATTGGATGTGGGCAACAAGTGGAAGAGCAGTCAGGGAAGGGCCAGGTCTAGACCCTGAATAGTGGGTGCCGCCACCTGCAAAGTGAAGGAAAAAAGGGTTCGGAGTGCACACACCTGCCCGGTCCACTTCCCACCTCTCCTTTGGTTTCAATGGACACGGATCTGCCTGGCACCCCAGAAGTCACCTCTAGGGGGTGCTGCTGAACAGCAAAGGGGCATTGCCCCTGTTGTGGGAAACTCCTCCCACATCCTGCCTCCTTCATGGAGACCCCCGGGATGGGAGGAGAGCGGTGGCTTTGGGGGGACAGCGATAAAGTTCATCTGCAGAGAACACCGGTGATAAAACCGATTCAAAACAAAGAGACCCCCACACACACCGTGAGGGTGGAGAAATGGTTATTTTGCACAAGTGAATGGTCCCAAAGAGAGGAACAGCAGTGAAAAGGATGACTCTTGAGGTCCTTCCATGACGTGGTTGCTCTGCACTTGCTCAGTGCTCCCTAGTTCCCCTCTTTTGCCCCCTCTGATCTGCTCTCCCCTAGCTGGAGTTGAGTGACCTTTCCTGAGTGACAATGGGCTTCCCCTGTTCTTTGAATTCCAAGAAGCAAAAATCCTTCAAATGGCCTGCAGGGGCTTGGGTGGTCTAGTCTCTGCCCACCTTCCCAGTCCCCACCTGCATGCCTCTCCCTCTGGGCACCAGTCACCTGACCTCATTCCTGGTGGACATCCCTGCCTTCCATCCCCACAGGGCTTTTTCCCAGAGCTGTTCCTTGGATGGAAATGCTCCCCCAGCCTTAACTTCAGATCTCAGCTAAAGCATGACTTCCCGGGGGGTGGAGGGTAGGGGCTTCCTCTGACACACAGCCCCATCTCAGTCATCTTAATGAATGTGAAACGATGCATTCTTTTGTCAAATATATAGTTGTGTTAGTCTGGGTAGACCAGAGAAACAAATTCATAGACACACTCATGTGTATAAGAAAGAAGTTTATATACAAGAGCAAGTGAATATTGAGAAAACATCCCAACCCAGTCCAGATCAAGTCCATATGTCCTACATTAGCCAACATGTCCGATACCAATCTATAAAGTCCTCTTCAGACTCACAAAATATGTGCAATGATGCTGAATGCAGGAAGATCACAGGCCAGTGCGTGGGAAATCTTGTGGCTCCAGTGGCAGTGGAAGCGTCTTAGCACTGCCATGGGTCTCCACATGGTTTCTCCAGCTCCCAGGGCTGCATCAGGGTAGGTCCATGTGGCTTCTCAGAGATGTCTCACAAGGAGTGAGCCTTGTCAGTAGAGAGCAGAAGAGTGCCCCCCCCCCCCCCAATCGCCTCCAGGGAGGAAAATAGAAGTTCCCAGAATCCTCAGGAGAAGGCCATACCAACACAGAGGCACCAGGGGCTATAAAATGACTGACAGGCTAGACTCCACCCCTCTCAAGTCCCAAATTGACACCAGATTATGTAACTACTCCAAGAGTTTTATTGACATAGGGTTCAGTATCATACCCTTTAGTTCAATGAAATGATGCTTCCTTTATCCGGAGGCGGCCTGAATGTCTGTGTCTCTCATTGGACGTTCACGGTAAGATACTGGGTCGTGGCTCTTTGTGCCCAACATGAGAGCCCAGCACTGCATCTGGCACATGTCAGGCCTTTGGTAGCAATGCGAATAAATCAATGACTGGGGAATAGTGTCAGGGACTGTGAGGTGGTTAGTTGATAAGTGGCCCTCCCTGGTGCTCAGTTGGGGGCCAGTGCCTTCTGCAGCAGCCGCTGTAGCTCTCAGCTCAGTGGGCAGATGAAATAAAACACGTGCGTTCTACTGGTCTTTCCCTGGTCTTCAGTCGGGTGTTCCTGCACACCCATCATCCGGAGAGAAGACTGGGAATCTGGGTCTTTGCAAGTCCTGGGGGGATTGGGGATGGGAGGCGGAAGTGGCAAACAGGTACCTGGAAGCCAAACAACACTGGCAGGGTTCTTCGTTGGACTCAATGTTGTTGTGCGACTTTTGAACCTGAACGACGTGAGGTGCGGCATGGTCCGCTCCCTAATAGCTGAGACCCGCTTCACTCATCTCTGCGCCTGCCTGGCCCCTGAGAGAGCAGGAGGCTGGGCTGGGAGCCACACGGGTCTGGGTTTGGATCCTGGCTCAGGAATTACTTTCCTTCTGTGGTTCTCAATTTCGCCTTCTATAAAAGAAGGACCATAGCAGTGTGGCAGAATTGGTCTGAGGGATCACTAGGCGAAGTGCCGGTTATCATTAAGGATTAAAACGCATGTGCATGGTGTCACTTCCAAGCATAGCATGAGCATGGCGTTAGCATGAAGAGGTGCAGGTTACAGGGACACAGAGCTGGCTCCGCATGAAAGAATCCTTTGGCAGGATTAACATTCTACCAGTGGAAGGTATGATGCTAGGAAGTAGGGTGGCCCCCCTCAAGAGAGGAATTCACAGAGCACGCCAGGGAGGGGCTCAAGGATCAGGTCAGGCATGTCAAGGTGACTCGAACACTCTAATCCTTGGCATATGACTCTCTCTTTGTCCAAATGGGTTGCAGATAAGGCTAACTTGGCAAAGCACCCGCCGGTGGCTGTCCTGCCTCTTGGAACCGGAAATGACCTTGCCCGCTGTCTCCGCTGGGGAGGAGGTGAGTACATGCTGGGGGCTCTACCTGGGGAGCCGCAGTCCAGGTGACTGGACAGCTCTGCAGAGCTCTTGGCTCTCATGTCTCAGTACTCAACTCTTGGGTCACAGCTATTCCTGGTCCTCTCCAAGCCCTCCGTCCTGTGCAAGGCTGTGAGCCGAAGCCCTCTGCTACGTTCCCGCTCTCTGCCCTCCGAGTGCTTCCTGTCTTCCTGAGACACGGGAGTGTCGCTGGCCTCCTCCTCAACGCACAGCCTGCTCGGTGCTCTCTCAGACAGGCCTTTTCTGCATGAAAACATCCATCTTCCTCTGAATTAGGACTCAGAATGCAGACCCTGAGCCGCTTCACCAGCTGCTCACAGTCACAGGGACACCACATTCCTTTAGCCCCCCCCCCCCAAGGTCTGCCTGAGGGAGCCCCAAGCAAAGTCCACTGCCATCAAGTAGATTCTAACTCCAGTGTCCCGCTAAGGGAGTGGAGTTGCCTCCTAGAGTTCCCAAGACTTCTCCTTATGGGAACAGGCTGCCAGACCTTTCTCCTGTGGAGTGGTTGACAGGTTCAAACTGTTCTTAGCAGCCAAGTACTTAACCCCTGCACCTCCGGGTCACCTTTTACCCTGGGGGGAAGTGGGAGGAGCTTGGGTCAGCAAATCCATCTGTCAGATGGACAAGCAGTTCTGTGAGCAATTCAGAACCAGGCAGGGCAGTGGTGAGTGTTCAGACATGGGTTTGTGCTTGGTGGGCAGGGGCAGGACAAGGGAGAGCCGGGCCCAGAAGGCAGCTGTCAGGCACAGGAGAACAGCCAGCGTCATCAGCATGGGCAGGGAGAGCTTTCTCTTTAAAGGTGGCACACAAGGTACCCTTGGTCGCACATCTGGGCGAGTAACACTGTCCATGGTGACCCCACGTACAGCAGCATGAAGTGTTGTCATCAGCACACTCAAGTCCACTGCTGTGGCCACCATGGATTTGGAGTGTCTTCCAACCTGAGGCTGCTCATCTTCCAGCCCTGTGTCAGACAACATTCTGGTGAGATCGATAGGGTTTCTCATGGCTAATTTTGTAGAAATAGATTGCCAGGACTTTCCTCCTAGTCCGTCATAGTCTGAAAACTCTGTGGAAACCTGTCCACCACGGGGGACGCTGCTGCTATTTGAACTCGCTTCCGGGATCAGTGTAGCATGCAAGCTGGCAGAGGGGTGGTAATGAGGCTACATTGTGGACAGGAAACCCAGTACTGTGTTCACAGGCAGCTCCAAGACCATGGGCTGCATGGTTTCTCTTTCTTTTTTTTAAATCATTTTATTGGGGGCTCATACAACTCTTATCACAATCCATACATACATCCATTGTGTCAAGCACACTTGTACATTTGTTGCCATCATCCTTCTCATCATTCTACTTGAACCTTTGGTATCAGCTCCTCATTTTTCCCCTCCCTCATGAACCTTTAATAATTTATAAAGTATTATTATTTTGTCAGGTCATACACTGTCCAACGTCTCCCTTCACCCACTTTTCTGTTGTCCATCCCCAAGGGAGGGGGTTATATGTAGATCCTTGTAATCAGTTCCCTCTTTCTACCCTTCCTTCCCTCCACCCTCTAGGTATTGCCACTCTCACCACTGGTCCTGAGGGGTTCATCTGTCCTGGATCCCCTGTGTTTCCATTTCCTATCTGTATCAGTGTACATCCTCTTGTCTAGCCATATTTGTAAGATAGAATTGGGATCATGATAGTTGTGGGGCGGGAAGCATTAAAGAACTGGAGGAAAGTTGTATGTTTCATCATTGTTACACTGCACCCTGACTGGCTAGTCTCCTCCCCCCGACCCTTCTGTAAGGGATGTCCAGTTGCCTACAGATGGGCTTTAGGTCTCCACTCCTCACTCCCCCTCATTCACAATGATATGATTTTTTGTTCTTTGATGCCTGATACCTGATCCCATTGACACCTCGTGTTCGCACGGGCTGTGTGCTTCTTCCATGTGGGCTTTGTTGCTTCTCTGCTAGATGGCTGCTTATTTACCTTCAAGCCTTAAAACCCCAGACGCTATATCTTTAGATAGCCGGGGACCATCAGCTTTCTTCACCACATTTGCTTATGCATCTGCTTTGTTTAGTGATCATGTCAGGAAGGTAAGCATCATGGAATTCCAGTTTAATAGAACAAAGTGTTCTTGCATTGAGGAAGTACTTGAGTGGAGGGGGCTGCGTGGTTTCTCTGTTTGGTTCCTAGGGCTTCCTAACCCTAGGGGTTCCTAACATCTAAGAACAGGTGTGTGTGTGTGTGTGTGTGTGTGTGTGTGTGTCACATGCTGGAGATGAGACAGCTTGAGGCAGGTGTGACTGGGCCATGTTCCCTCTCAAGCCCCTATGTTATAAGTTCCCAACCTCATTTGGCCTATTGGCCTCTTTTCAGGGGAAAAAAAAATCATTCAATCCCTCCCTGGCAATTTAAATTTTTGTGTTATGGCCCACAATCCAGGATAAAGTGTAGGTATCTGCTTTTGTAAACACCTCTGCCCCCCTGCCGCCCCGATTGTGACCCCAGGGGCCAGTATTGTGCAGTTTGGGTAGCACTGCTGTAAGAGGATGCTTTTTTGTCTCCAGCCCGGCATGCCTCTGCTTGGAGACGAATGCTCACATGGCCCTTGTCCTCTGTGAGCGTCTCCCTGTCTCTTATCTTTTATAATGACACTAGTCATAGTGGCCCTGGAGCCCTGGTGGTGTTGTGGTTATGTGTTGGGCTGTGATCCGCATGGTCAGCATCTTGAAACCACCTCTCCTTGGGAGAAAGACTGGGCTTTCCACTCATAAATAGTTACAATCTGGAAATGCACGGGGGGTGGGGGGATGGCTAGGAGTCAACATTGACTCAATGGCAGCAACTTTAGGGTTTTGTTTGGGGTTTTTTTTAGTCTTGTTGGAAGGAGCCCTGGTGGCATAGTCGGCTACATGTTGGGTTGTTGACCAGAAGGTCAACAGTTTGAAACCACAAGTTGCTGCTCTGGAAAAAGATGAGGCTTTAGACCCCCATAAACAGAGTCTTAGAAGCCCAAAGAGGCCATTATACCCTGTCCTAGAGAGAGGGTCACTGTGAGCTGGACTGGACTCAATGTGAGTGAGTTGGATTTGGGTTGGAGTCCTACTAGATTAGGACTCGCTCTACTTCAGTCCCACCTCGTGTTGATTTAACTGATGGCATCTTCAAAGATCTGACTTCCAAACAAGGTCACGTTCTCAGCTACCAAGGGTTGGGACTCCAAAATACCTTCTGAGGGGACGTCACTAAGCAAAGGCTCCAGTGGGTAAGCCCACCTTGCTGGCTGGCTGCATGAATGCAGACCCTGCAGGGGGGAAATCAATGGCCTCCTCCCCTTCCACTTCCCCACCCTCACCCTGAGTACACACTCCGCCCCAGCCATTCTCGGCGTCGGAGCTCACAGTGAGAAGGAGACTTTCCTGCGTTGTGCCAAGTAGACAGATGGCAGCCCATGCTGTCTCTCTCACTGCCCTGTGGGCTCATTGATTTGCGGGGGCCACTCAGAATTTACAGACCGCACTCTCCCAACCACCGAGTTACTATAGTCCCAAATGAAAACAGAGAGTGGGTGCCGTGAGGAGCCCCAATTCCTAGCTTTCACACCCTGAGAGGAGGCACTGCCCTTCCCACCGCTGAGAGCCATCCCTCCCCAGCCTGGAAACTCATCCGAGCCTCAGGGTTTGGGGCTCTTATCCACTCCCCATCATAGAGGACCTCTTGAGGGCCCCCAGGTGATCCCTCCCTCCATCTTCTGCTCAGCCCCCACTCACAAGCCCAGGGTGTGGTCTGGCCCTCAAGAACCAAGACCACAGGGGAGGCACAGCTTGTTGTTGGGTAAGTCATTATCTGACAGGGGTACCCTTGTGAGGAATGCCCTGTGGAAGGAGGCAAAGCTCGGGGCATTTGAAACTACTCTGCAAGGTTGCCCTAAAGGGCTCGCTGCTGTCCCACCACCCTCTCGTCCCATGCAGTTCACTCGCTGTTTTTGTCTTCTCCCCACCTCACCTGTGAGTTTGTCATCCTGGGGTGGCTAGTGTGTGACTGTGGTGCTGGAAGTTATGCCGCCAAAATTTCCAAGAGCAGGGTCACCTTGGGTGACTAAGACAGACTAGGAAAAAGGACTGGGAAGATCAGGAGATGGAAGAAGGCAAAGTCAGGGATGTTAGTGAAACGTGCACAGACCTGGAGTTAGACAAACCGACGGGAAGAACGTACAGCTTCTCTCGAGCTGGAGGAACTGAAGGAAACACGTAAGGCTAGAGTTGCAATTCTGAAGGTTTCTAGAGACAAACTATTAAATGACAGAAGCAGCCAAAGAAATGGGGAAGAACACACATTGTCTCTGCACCAAGAAGAACCGGGCGATTTCAGGAGGTAGCATACAGGTAAGCTGAAATGGGAGGAGGGCCTTCAAGCTGCCCTGAAGGCGTGGGTGGGCAAGAAGGCGCCAGAAATGGACAGAACACATGGGAAATGTTTCTAAAGATGACGCACCGGAGGTGCTCATTCATCTGTGCCAAGAAAATGGGAAGAGGCGACGTGGCCAGCTGATTGGCAGAGCTCTGCATGTGTTGCCTAAACGGCAGTCCAACCGGTGCAGACCGTTCCAAACAGTATCCTCAGCAGATGGGATCGGGTGGGCGCAGGGCGATATGGCCATTGACAATAGCATTAATATCATTGCACGCAAGGGAAAGTGTGTGCAGGTAATAAAACCACAGTTGCAGCAATGTATCCACTGAGAATGGCCAGGAATTCAAGCCCGACTCTGGTGAAGGTATAGAAAAATGTTCGCTTGTGTTTAATGTACCATGCAAAGACATTCAACTATCTGGATGAAAACAAAGCATGGGTCACATAGAGAATAATAGTAAAACCCTTCGTTGGGTCTATGTAGAACTTGTACATAAACCAAGAGGCAATGGGTTAAACAGAACAAAGAGATACTGTATGATTTCAGATCAGAAAAGGCTGTCTGCGTTGTATCCTTGCACCAGACTTACTCAATCTGCAGGAAGGAAGGCTCCTTAAAACCTTCAGTATGCAGCTGACTCGAGCTGACCTGCGGCCGGACGAAGCCTGCAAGCACGTACAGAGGAAGAGAAAAGGCTGCAGCTTCAGCACAGATTACACCTCGGTGTAAAGAAAGTCAAAATCCTCCCCACGGGACCAATAAGCAGCATTAGGTAAATGGAGAAAAGATAGACGTTGTCAAGGATTTCATTTACTTGGATCCACAAGCAGTGGTCCAGAAATCAGACAATGCATTGTATTGGGAAAATCTGCGACACAAGATCTCTTTAAAGGGCGAAAGATGTCACTTTAAGATACGCCTGACTCAAGCCATAGTATTTTCATTCACTTCATATGCATATAATAGCTGGGCAATGAAAACAGAAGACGGAGAAGAATTGATGCCATCGAATTATGGTGTTTATAAAGAATATTAAATATCCCATCCTATCAATGTGAATGAGGGGGAGTGCAGAGTGGAGACCCAAAGCCCATCTGTAGACAATTGGACATCCCCTTATAGAAGGGTCACAGGAAGAGATGAGCCAGTCGGGGTACAGTATAGCACTGATGAAACATACAACTTTCCTCTAGTTCTTTAATGGTTCCTCCTCCCCCACTATCATGATTTCAATTCTACCTTACAAATCTGGCTAAACCAGAGCATGTACACTGCTACAGATAAGAGCTGGAAACACAGGGAATCTAGGACGGATAAACCCCTCAGGACCAATAATGAGAGTAGTGATACCAGGAGGGGAAGGGGAAGGTGGGGGGAGAAAAGGGGAACTGATCACAGTCATCTACATATAGCCCCTTCCTAGGGGGGGATGGACAACAGAAAAGTGGGTGAAGGGAGACATCAGTCAGTGTAAGACATGAAAAAAATAATTTATAAATTATTAAGGGCTCATGAGGGAGGGAGGGTGGGGGAGGGAAGGAAAAAATGAGCTGATACCAAGAGGTCAAGTAGAAAGACAATGTTTTGAAAATGATGGTGGCAACATGTGTACAAATGTGCTTGACACCTTGGATGGATGGATGGATGGATGGATGGATGGATGGATGGATGGATGGATGGGTGGGTGGATAGAATGTGATAAGAGCGGTGTGATCCCCCAATAAAATGATTTTTTGAAATAATGCATAAATCTCCCATGGGCTCCCAGAACAAGCAGATCAGTGCTGGAAGAAGTCCAGCCCGAGGGCTCCTTAGAAGTGCGCCTGGTGAGCCTTCATCCCATGCGTTTTGACATGTTATTGGGAGGGATCACTCCCAGAGAAAGACAGCATGCTTGCTAAAGTACAAAGTCTCAGGCTGAAATCAGGATGTTGCTTGGAGACGTTTTTTCTGGACACTGGTGTAAGTTTTTTCTGTGAGCTCATTCCAGTTGTCAGCCAAATTCAGTTCCTTATGGTTGTAGGACTGAAGTCCCCGTGTCTTTGGGGCATGTCACGTGGGGGCCACATGCAGCTCCTAGACGATGCTCACATCCCTGCCACCTGGATCACGCCATTGGAAGCCAGTAACAAAAGGTCTTCCCGACATCAAAGTTTTCTTAAACTTTTCATCTTTCTTAAGGAAGAGCCCAGTCCCTTTAAAGGTTTGCCTGATTAAAATGAATCCTCTTAGAATGATATATAATATAAAATAATCCTCAAAGGACTACCTCTTGATTCCGAAGTCTTGGGATCATAGGAGGTGTTTGTGTCGCGGGGCAAGAATTGTGGGAGTAATCCTAAATCTCTATCTACCGTACTGTCTACCTCTGATGTCGCGTAGTCCTGGCACAGAGCCTTTGTCCTCCCATGAACGGCCACCTAACCTTCCAGGCCAGTCTTGCTCCGTCACACAGCTCTGCACTTTAGGAGAGTGCTCCCTCCTCCTACTGCTTCCTCATCAACCAGGTTCGCTCTGACCATTCCCTCCTGTGCCTCCCCTTGTCCTCCGGTCTGGGAACATAAATGTTTCCAGTACAAAGACACGCTGAGGAGTCTCCCTCTCCCAGATGACCCCTGGGCTCCTGGCCCTGACACTTCTTGTGTCTTGTGCATCGGCCACATCTCTGGCTCTCTACCCTGGTGACCCACACAAGGCTGTGCTCCGCAGGTTACGAGGGGGGGAGCCTGACGAAGATCCTGAAGGACATCGAGCAGAGCCCCCTGGTCATGCTGGACCGCTGGCATCTAGAAGTGAGCCCCAGAGAGGAAGGGGAGAACGGGGACCAGGTCCCATACAGCATCATGAACAACTACTTCTCCATTGGCGTGGTGAGTTGGCCAGAATTTACCTTTCTTCCTGGAAGAGGCTGCCGAGGTGGGCAGGCAGGGTTGGGGCCTCCAGTGCCTGCACCCTGGGTTCCTACTCTGTCCTTGTCCCAACTGCCCCAGCCCTGACTTGGGTCCACGCACCGCCTCATCTGGCCTGGGAGTATACAGCCTGATTGTGCCGGCTCTTCTCCTTGGTTATGAAGAAAGCCCTTGCCCTTCTCCTGTTAGCTAAAACAGGGAGGAAAGGTGGGACATTTTCAAAGACCTATTTACCATCTGGGTAGTTGGCAGCGGTTAAAGCACAGCGGCACCGAGAAATCCTGAAAGAGCCTGCTCTGGAGAGACTGTTGGCTGAACCCCAGGGTTGGGACTTCTGCCCTCAGGGAGGCCCGGTGGCTTCTGGGCCGACTCTGCTGGCTTGGCGGGTCGGGTCCCTCTTCCTGTATCTCAACCACATGGTACACACATGTGCGTCACACATGTCTGGGGACACCTCCTCCGGGCTGACCCCTCAATAAGGCACTCCAGGCTCCTCAGTGGTGCCCCCACAGTGTCTGTGCTCATCCATGAAGTAAGTACCCCTGCATTAGACAGAAGGGGCGCACCTATTGTGCCTGACTCCCCCAACACCCACCCACGGAGGCAAGGATAGGGCTGCCTTTGTCTTTCTTGCCTCCGTCACATCTAGTACCGCTCAGCTGGTTTTGCTGAATTCAGACAGCAGAAAGAAAAGGCTTGGGTGGGCACTGCTTCCCAGTCTATTGGAGTGGGGATGGATGCAGCGATCGACCATTTTCATAAAGAGAGCGGGGGCTAGAGAGGGGGTTACAACATGCTCTCTGGTGTTCCCGCCTCTGTGTATTGGAAGTAGCCGCCATCGCAGCCCTGAGTGTGGTGATGAGGGCTACTTCCAGTATACATGCAAGGTAGGTATGCTTGTCCCCACTGTACAGAAGAGGGGGAGGAGAGTGATCAGGTGGCTCCGCCTTCTGCCGCCAGCTTCTTCCCTCTCCATGTTCTTGCCTAGGGATTTTGCCTCTCAGATTCGTGTGCACAGGCTTTCCTCCAGACTGTGTGAGACCTGCACTCCTCAGTCATCCTCACCTGAGCCTGTGGACAGTTTTAACGCTTTAATAGATGTATACATACATCCGTATATGTTTATTCAATGGAAAGAGAGGAAGAAATGATGTTAGGTTGCTTAAAGAGATGGCTGATTTAAGGGGGACACTTTGCTTTTTTAATAAGAAAACTAAAGACAGAACTATGGAAGAGGAAAGGGTTAAAAATAACGCTACCTTCTATTTACGGTAGGATTTAAAATTTGCTGGACTTTTTGATCCTTCGGACTGCTCTGAAGGCCATCATACTGGTGAGGAGACAGACACTCGGGGAGGGGAAGGGATTTGCCTCCTTTGTTCTAACTCCTCATAAAGTGTTCAGGGCCCTTGATTGGTATAAATGATTCGCGCCACTCGTTGACCTACCTAATGAGCCCTGGTGGCGCTATCAGGTAGACGTCCAACTGCTAACTAGAAGCTAGTGGTTCAAACCCACCAGCTGCTCCAAAGGAGAAAGATGAGGTTCTCTTCCCCCATAAAAGGTTTCCAACCTTGGAAACCCTATGCAGGTTCGCTTTGCGTGGGGTCAACTGGATGGCAGGGGACTTGGCAGCATAGCTTCCTGGCTCAAAACAACAGCAGAGGCACCACAGTGTAAGAGACTAACCGGTGAGAGTGATGGGTGCCTCAGATAACCAACCCCTAAATCCAAGAGCCAACACTGACCCCAAGAAGGAAGGAAGGGAGAGCGGAAGATTTCCCCAAGGAAATGCACAGAAGCAGATAATTCATCGCTCACAGTGGACAGGGCACTGATGTGCCCAGAAGTGCCACACAACAACCCAATCTGCTCATTGACCTGAGGAAGGGCTTCACAGTCTCTCTTGTCTTTTCCCTGAATGCGGAATATTTCAGGGTGGAGGGGTGAGGCCCTGGAACATGTTCCCCCTTGTTGGTGTACCCTTCTCCTTATCTCAGTAGATATTTGCAGGGAGTGTGCTCGCTCTTTAAGATTGGGGAAGAGAAATTCTTGAGAAAACAAGTAACCAACCTGCACCCCTAACAGCCTGTGGGGCTGACATTTGCAGAAGGTCTTGCTCCTTATTTGACTTCCCAAACTCTGTAAGAGGAGAAGGAGGTATGTAAACCAACCGCTTTTACTTCCTTACGATGATTAAATAGAGTCGGACTCCTTTGGCAAGGAGAGCCCAGCCAAGTCCTTGCCTCTTTGAGAGGACCTGAAGTGTCTTATTGATATCAAATGTCTGCTGCCCGGCGTTTATAAAAGTGATGGCAATGACCACCTGGGGGGTAAAGATTTGCCCTGTTGAGGTCACACAGGCCTCTTAGTGCCAATAAACACAAACCAAACCAAACTCACTGCCCTGGAGTCGATGCCAATTCATAGCGACCCTGTAGGACAGGGGAGAACTGCTCCTGTGGGTGTCCGAGATGGTCACTTTACAGGAGTAGAAAGCCCACCTTCCCCCCCTCAGTGTCAAGAGAACTCATTTCATAGCGAGAAAGAGAAACAAGGAAACAAAGCCGAGGGTCCAGATCCTCCCGGCCTGTCTCGGGAGTGACTGTGGGCTGGGCCCCATTCCCAACACATTCTAATCAGCCACATGCCAGGTGGCCATCCGTGACCAGTGGACAGACTTGGCCCTCTCGGTCCCTTTGATTGGTCGTATCCAGTGGCAGGAGATTTTAAACACCCTCATTCAGGACTTCACTTCCTCTGACTTCTCTGGCCTCTTCTCCCTGCTCTTTATTTTTGGAGTTGCAGAAATGTCAGGATGGCCAGGTGTCAGTGACAGGAAGTTTCGGACGGCCAAAGAGTTCCTGGGCCCGGAGTGACTCTGAAGCCGGCAAAGGCTCTGCTTTCACTGAGCCTTAACAGGAGGAGTGAACAGCTAGTCCCTTGATTCAATGAAATCTATTTCCGATGCTGGGGGAACCCAGGGGCCAAGGAGAGGCCGCATCCCCTCCCACTCCTCGTGGGTTAGGAGTTGAGCTGCTAACTGCAAGGTCAGCAGTTCAAAACCACCAGCCACTTCTCAGGAGAAAGATGAGACTTTCTACTCCCATCAAGAGGTACAGCCTCAGAAACCCACAGGAGCGGTTCTATAGGGTCGCTGTGAGACCTCATCGGCTTGATGGCAGTGAGTTTGGTATTTGGGGGATTATACTTATTAGGCTTCTCCAGCCAGGTTCCCCCCACGGTCAGCCTTCATCCAGTAGCAGATATGTCAAGAAGATATCCTTTTCTCGGCCAGCACTTAGAGTCCTTCATGGTCCATCATCTGTGAAAGCCATAAACTTACCGAGACAATGGGGCTCATGGCAGGGTGCACCGACCACCAGGAGGCTGTGCACACTCCCTCCATTCCCCTCCCTGGCAGCATTTTCTCAGAATAGCCCCAATTCCAAGCAGCCTGCTCTATAGCCTCCTTCTTGTCTTATTGCCTCCATTCATTGCCAAGGGGACCTGGACTCCCATTGCCCAACATGCAGCCACTGGTCACATGAGGCCATTTGCCCTTGACATGTGACTTGTCCAAAGTGAGATGCCCTGTGAGTATAAATATACGGATATAAAAAACTTGGAAAATAGATATGTATATATTAATAATATTGCTCTACTGGCTATCTGGCATGTTTATGGTCATTAGGTACGTTGAAATGTATTATTAAAATTAAACTGATCTGGGTTTGAGGCTTTTTGGGTGTTTGCTTTGTTTTTACTTCCTTAAGGTAGCTATTAGAATATTTAAGTTCCATACATGGCTTACGTTAGATTTCTGCTGTCCAGTGCTGCCTAGACCTTTCAACATCTCCAAGTCTAGAGCACTAGGAGAGGCACAGAAGGCCCACATCTAGGGACATGCCTGGAGTTTGAGTTCAAGAAGTAGTCTGTGCCCATGGCTCTCCTCATCGCCTCTTTACCCAGCAGCTCATAGACAAGATCCCCAGAGGGCTGGCGTTTGGCGGCAGTGAGTGGGGTCCACACGGGTGACCCTGTGCACAAGAGACTGAAGCACCGCCCAGTCCTGCACCATCCTCACCCTTGATTGTTCTTACGCTCGAGCCCATTGGTGCCGCCACCGTGTGGCTCCTTTCATTGACGGCCTTCCTCTTCTCTGCCGCCCCTCCACTTTACCAAGCGTGATGCCCGGCATCGTGACCGTACCGAGTTTGCAATTCCATCTTCCCTCTCCGGAAGTGATGTATAAGGCCAAAGATGGGAAATGAGACAAGACAAAAGGTTCTCTCCTCTCTCTTGTGGAGGCTCACTTGTTCTGATGAGCACCAACCAAGGGCTGCACCAGGTCGCACTGGTTTCCCACATTTCAAGACAGTCACTCCTGAACATCCATCCACCTGTCTCCTTCCGGCACGGAGGACATCAGCCTGGCCGCTCTTCCCGGTCCCGGGGAGAGACGCGCGGTCAGCGTGTTCGCCCTCTTTGCCTTCTCAAGACAGCCGCCAAGCAGCTGCTCGACTCTCTTTTATGTTGTCTATTTACCAACAGAGGACAGTTTTGAATTCACAGTCACACAGCCTCATTAATAACCTTCTGAGAGCTGATCGCGATGAAAAGAAGCTTTACTTAACCTATTTAAAACACACCTTGATAGGGAAAAACCAAGGCGAATCAGACAAATGTCCTGTGTGTATATCCCAAAGAGTTTCGTTTTTACACAGGGAGTCAGAGCCACGCGAGGGGCTGGAGGCGAGGCGAGTGCAAATCCCACTGGGCAACGTGTGTGCAGTCGCTTTTCCCTTTGCTCCCTGAAGGAAGAAAGTTAGTGCTTTGGAGGGAAACAGTAGATGGAACATTCTGGCGAATTCTCAGGAGGCGTTTGACAAACGTCATGTGAGTCCCTTTCCGAGTGTTCCGTGACCCTGGCTCAGCAAAGAGGGGCTGGCACAGTCTCGGGCATGGAGCTCTGTGCTCTACAGAGCTGTGGGGCGGACGGGCCCCAGTGGGAGATGGCTTCGCACACCCCCAGCCCAGCACCCACAAGGGCGCCCCACCAAGGCCTTCAGCTTGGAGTGTCTGCAACTGGAAACTGAAATGAAAAATCCATGGCCAAAATGCAAATGGCTAATCCCCAGGACCTTACTTCACCAGAGTCTCTTGCTGCCCCTAATGAAGCCTGTCCTCCTGAACTGGCTTCCTTGCTGTCCGTGGTGGACAGCTGGCTGGGCTGACTCCTGGGTCTCCGGCAACTACAACAGCAACACCTGTGAAAGGCAGAGCCGGGTAACCTGTCCGACAAGGTTTTCCACTAAAAGAGGGCTGCAAAAGTGGTCAGATCCCACCCTGTTACAGGCAGACACCTTTCAAGACCTGAAAACACTAGGCCGATTCCAGTTGTCCCTGTACGTAAGCTCCCCTCTGGCCCCCACATGTCAGTGAGCCTCCTGTCCCCTACCTCAGCTCGATTTCCCTCACTGCACCCTATGGGCGTTCAAGAAATGCTTCTTGGCAGAACCTGTCCCTCCTGATTGTTTTTTAAAAAAAAGAAGCATTCATACATTTTCTTTGATAGCATTTCCATATCAAGAAATGAATTTTAATACGCATTTGCTGAAAAGACACTGCAGGAGATTTGGCTCTCTCTTAGCGAAGTAGCCGAGGAGCTGGGTGTCTGTCTTTCTTCACAGATCGGAGCCAGCTCCCTGTGTCTGTGTAGCCCGATGGGCCTGCTGATTTAGAGAGCTTAGTACCTGTGCCCAGTGCTGGCCCTGCACCTGAGGGGCGACATAGGCACATCTGCTGGAATGTGAGACCGCTGACACGGTGGCCATGCTGGGCAGCAGAGAGAGGCTCAGCGTGAGGTGTGAATTCTAGGGTTGGTTTCAAAGGCTAGGGAGGCATCTGCATCTAGAAAGGAGAGTTATTGAGCCGGCCCTCAGAGTGGCCTGTGAGCTACCGAAAGAACTCAGGGGAAGGCCACCGTGTGCGACTGGACAGCCAGAAGCAGTGTCCTGGGACCCCTCCTACCTGGGAGCTCAGGGTCGAGGTGTTCAACAGAGCAGCAGGGTCCACGGGACATGGTAACATGACTCAGTCCGGTCAGTGGCGTTTCAGTGAGCAGAAGCCAGGGATTGGAGTCCATATTTTTTCATTAGCTACTAACGAGGTCTGGAAGGGGCTCGGTGGCATCGTGGTGAGGAGTCGGGCTGCTCAAAACCCCCAGCCGCTCCATGGGCGAAAGAAAAGGCTTTGTGCTCCTGGAAAGAGTGTACCATCTCGGAAACCCACGGGGGCAGTTCTACTCTGCCCTACGGGGTCGCTGTGAGTCAGAATCCACTCGATGGCAGGGGGTTTTCTGTGTCATGAGGGATGGAGTCCCTTTTCAGAGACGGCTACTGTTCACAGGAGTAGGAAGCCCGGTCTTTGTCCCTCGGAGCTGCTTGCTGGTAGTTCCCAACTGCTGGCCATGTGGATGCCAACCGAACCGAACGCTTAACCTCGACACCAGGGCATGCAACCCCAAGGTGATGTGAATGACTAATGCGCTTGGCTGGACACAGACAGGTTAGAAGTGCAAGCCTACCCAGAAGCTCCTCAGAGTAAAGACCTGGCAACCAACCTCAAAACAAGCAACAGACACCTGCCATTGACAACCCTGTGAAGCGTATTTGACTTCGACATGCATGGGCCACCGTGAGCGAGAGGTTACTCAACAACTGTGGCTGTGGTGGTGGTGGTGAGGGGGTTACCCGACACCTCTCATGTCTCTACTGAGTGGATGATTAGGAGCAAAAAGAGTCTATTTAATAGACAATTCCATCGCACCAATGTCGATTTCCTGCTTTTGACAGTGTGCTGGGGTTATGTAAGACACTAATGCTGGGAGAAGCTCTCTGAACTATTTTTGCAACTTCTTGCAAGTCTAAAAATATTTCAAAATAAAACATATTTTTTAAAGAAGAGTTATATGATGAGGCTTTTCTAAAAACTCACACTTAGCCCCCATCCACCCAGGCTGCAGCACCCGGTCTACTCAGAGACACCCTCTCTCTTCAGAGGACCCAGGGCTGTCTCTTGACTCAGTCTAGAGCCATCTGTGTCACACAAGCCAGGGACAAAGTGGATGTGGCAGGGGCGCTGCCGTCCAAGCACTGGTGGCACTGGCTTCCACGTAGGACATGGTGTTTGACCTCTCTGGTGTTCTCAACTGTGAGTTGGGTCTCAGGTCTGGGTGGCATGGCCACTAACCGGAGGTCTGCTGTCCTCTTTTGCCCTTTCAGGATGCTTCGATCGCACACAGATTCCACATGATGAGAGAGAGACAACCTGAAAAGTTCAATAGCAGGTAAGAGGCCCCTGCAAGCCTGGCTGCTCTGCCCACCTCAGCTGCCCTGCCCAGCCTGGCCAGACCCGGGCCTCACGCCTGCTCTCACGGCAAGGGCCTGTGCTGTCCTGCCACACTGTAGGAAGAAGGCTTTCATGTCCAAGAAGAAAGGTGTCAGAAACCTGCCTCCACCTGCTGTGGAGCCCTCCAGAGGGAGGCTGTGCAGAGGGAGAAGTTCGGGAGCAGCCAGGGGAGGGGGAGTGCCCCCTAGGGGTGGACTTGCTAGACCTTCTCTCTGGGGCTCCCCTTCTCCATAAATGTATAGCTGTCCCCTCCCGGCCCCATTGCTCTTCTAGGAAAGGGAGGTGGAGAAGTAGAAGAAAAGGACCCCCAGAGACCCTCAGCTTCCCCCACCCTCAGGGGAGGGGCAGCAGTGTCTCCAGGGCCAGCCCAGGGTTGGCAACGGTCAGCCTCCTGTTTCAGTGGACTGCAATGGCCTCTGGGGACCAGCAGCCCATGAGGTCCCCCCCTGGGCAGTGAGAGTCAGGTCCAAATGGAAAGGAAAGAGAACACTCAGTGATTTACAAACAAAACCGAACCCTTCTTGCCCGAGAGAGGGAATTCCAGAGAGCAAAGCTGCACCAGGCACACTGCTGCCTCCACGGTGGCTCAGTGACCCTTCTCCTCCTTCCTCCTCTCTTTTCTTGCTTCCAGGCTAAATCCTGTCCCTTCTCCTTCCTCTCTGTGATACCATTGCAGGATGGCCACTGATGGCAGGAGGGAGGCTAAGAATGTGGACTGACTCGTTCAGCCTGCAGGGATTGGTTTTATTTTTTTATTTTTTAGGTCACTGCATTGAGCAGTATTTTTTTCCTAATCATTTTATTAGGGGCTCATACAACTCTTATCACAATCCATACACACATCCATTGTGTAAAGCGCATTTGTACATTCATTGCCCTCATCATTCTCAAAACATTTCCTCTCCACTTAAGCCCCCAGCGATTGGTTGTATTTAGGCCACAGGGTTCTCTTCAAAGCAAAGATCAGGAAATGACTGAAGACATTCATGTGCAACCCAACACCTCCAAGCGTTCCCGCACGATCTTTTCTACTCCTTTCCACTGGCCCCACTGCCGAGGAGGCTAACCAAGAAGGAGGGTCAGTGGACATCATGAAACTGCCTGTGTGCTAAGCGTCACAGCCACTTTCTGTACAGGCCTGCTCCCCCTCGCTCCTCCCTGGGCTCCATTCACACACAGGCTTTCTGCCCCTTCTCCTCCTGCGGGCAGAGTCACCAAGCAAGAGATTGCCTCTGTCTGCCCCTTTCTCATGCACACGCACAGTCATATTTTCATACTCCCCTACTTCCACCCAGGAACCCTGGTGGTGTGATGAGTTACATGTTGGGCTGCCAATCACAAGGTTGGTAGTTCAAGCCCACCAGCTGTGACCCGGGGAAAAGATACGGCTTTCTCTCTGAAACCCTGCGTCGGGTCACAATCAACTTGATAACCGTGTGTGTGTGTGTGTGTGTGTGTGTGTGTGTGTGTGTGTGTGTGTGTTATACTTACACCCATTCTGCAGACATTTAAAGTACTCTTTCACACAGGCACCTATACACGTGCCCATGCACACGTGACTGGTAAGGTGGCATCCACGTACGCGCAGAAATCTGTAGAGGTTCTGCTCATTGCTTCCTTCACCCACTCAGCAGAACCACTGTGGGAGCCCGGCTCCAGCAGCAGGCACGGCCGTTCAGGTGCTTGGGGTAGGGACGTGAAGGGGAGTCGCATGCAGTCCAGTGGTGGGGACAGACCAGAAGCAAATATGCCTGATGCTTGGTGTCAAGCAGTGTAGATAGACTGGAGCTCACAGAAGCCTTGGTAGCACTGTGGGATGGGCGCTGGCACGTGCCCACGTGCCTAGTGGTTATTATGATGCGACGCGCACGCTGTGTAGGGACACTATGAACTGGACCTCACTGATGTCGGGGATTGGGTTTGGGGTATAAGAACACAGGAGACCACAGGCAGAGTGGTTAAAGCTTTGGGCCGTTAACTGGAAGGCACCTCTGCAGAAAGGCCTGGTGGTCTATGTCAGAAGAATAAGCCCCCGATGCCCTTTGGAGGCCAGCTATCCCCTGACACACCAGGTGCCCCCCAGTCGGGTGAGCTCCGCGGCAGCGGTGTTTGGTTCTGTTCTGCTTTGTTTGCTGTTCACGGGAACACAAAGCAAGGTGGGAACTGGGCCTGGAGCAAGCGATCAGAACCAGGACACAAAACACATGCGTTTGCCCGGCTGGGCCAAGGGAGCCAACAGCCCAGGCAGAAGGAACAGATAGAAAGCCGTGAGAGGGGCTGGTGAAGAGCCGGTTGCAGGGCGTCTTGGTAGGGAAGGGAATTTGTAGAGAGTACAGCAGCAAAGATGTTCCGTATTCCAACAGCCGACCTACAGGTGTAATATAAGTAGAGCAAATGTCAGTTATCCACATGTGGACTCAGGCCACGTGACCTGCCTTGGTAAGGCGGTTGGGGTATCCGGTCTCCACCTCTCTCCTTGTGGGGCCTTTAATGTAAACCCCCAGCCTTGGAGTCAGTTCTGACTCAGAGTCGAACCATTGCACAGGGCTTCTGATACCATAAACCGGGACTGAAACAAGACGGCCTCATCTTTCTCCGGCAGGGTGGCGGAGGGCCTTGAACTGCTGACCGTGTAGCCTAATATGTAACCCACTCTGCCACCAGAGCTCTGTATTTTAATGTTAGTGTGAACCACATGCAGCTAAAACAATAAGCCTGACAAAGAAAAGGAAAGTACTTTCGATGCAGGTGGGAACAAATCCACCGTGATCAGTTCCCATGAGCGAGCGGCTGATCCTGGTTAGGCGAGCGCCCCCTTCCCCTTCCCGTGGTTGTCACATGGGTGCTGTGACGTGAGGCAGGGGGCTGTGCGAGCTAATCCCCGTGCCTAAGAAGTGAAAGCATGTGGATAGCCCTGGCTCTGACTTCCCAAGGTCACAAGGGCACGGGACGCTTCCTATGAATAACTTTGGGTCCATACTGTGTCTACCCCGCCCGCCCCGTGTGCCCGGCTGGAAATCCTCTGGAGGCCCCAGGGTGCCCACAGAGAGGCAGGCGAGCAGCCATTTTCTCCACCCTTCCGGAGTTAGCACTGGAGCGGGTTTTAAATAGGCAGGTGGTTGTTGCCATGGTTACCCCATTACACCAGTGGCTAAACTTAGGAAGGGCCACAAGGGATAGGAAGAAAGCTTGATGCCCAGGGTTTGGAAATGTAAACGGCATTATCAAACAAGGCTTCCTTTTACTCGGCGGAACTCACCTTCTTGGCTGGCAGCCTTGACCACGGATGCTGCCGGGCACTGCACGCACAAGCCTGAGGCGAAATCTAGGGAGTTGTAACTGTTTGGGGTTTTTTTGTTATGTTATGAACAAAAGAGTGTTACAAGCCAAGGCTAAAATATATAAAGAAACGCATCTTTGAAGTACTCACTCCATTTGGGGGCTGTGCTAACCAGAATTTTTCTTTTTCTTTCAGTTGAGTGAGGTCCTGTGTAGCCCATAGTTTGCCATATCAAAGTCTTCACACATGCAATTGGGGACATTTGTCGTGCTGGGTCGTCATCCCCATTAACCCTGTCCAAATTCTCCCGTCCTTCAGCTCAGGATCCCCTGAGCCCTGGGGCCCCTGGTCATCGCTGATAATCTGGTCCCTGTGCACTCTGGGCCTCCCTGGCCTACCCTAGCTATCTGAGCTACGTGGGGTCATACTATATGTGTCCCTGTCATATGGGTCTGAGTCCAGGGAGTCAGACTCATCCACGGTGTAGCGTGCGTCAGCACCTCATTTCCAACACGAATTCTTAGCCTGGCGTCCAGTGGCTTCACAGTCTCAGAGAACCGTGGTGTTTCATGTAACAGATTGAAGGCATGTTTCCAGGGAGGTGGCCCATAACTATCTACAAGTCCTTCACAGAACCCTGTCCCCAGGGGGTGAAAAGTCACCATTCGGAGCCCTCAGCGCACCCTAAGCGGCACCAAGTCATGAATGTCCTAGGACAGCTTCAGGGAATTCTTTCCCTAGAGGCCTCTCTACACAGGTTGTTGCCAAGGAAGGTGGTTGATTACAGAAAACGAAATTATATCCCCTGGTGGAATAGCTTTGTTAATGGAGCAAGAACCAGACCCAGGGAGGCTGGAAGATGAGCCAACTGTGATGGGCAAGGAAGGAAAAAAAAAGTCTCTCAGGCAGAGATGGAGCTATTTTTAGCCCCTTCTCCAGTCTCATCAGTGACATGATCATTATTCATTGCTAATGTAGGCATGCTATGAGAATGATCATCTCTTTGTTGGTGTAAACACCAGAAAGGGTTTTATTCACCTGCATTCCTAACGTTAGAAAGTATGTTAGGATCTACACAGGGAAATAAGACATGGTGCCTGCCTTCCAGAAACTCCCAAGTCTACCAAAGAAAGAAGAAGATTCCTGAAATATTCTGTATAGTTGTTTCAACAGAAAAGGTGGCTGCATAGTAGTAGCAGCTCATACAGTACACTGAGAGTTGTAGAGCATACAGGAGTGTTTTAATGGTTATATACACAAAAGCCTTTTGAAAAATGTTTTAGAGCATACCAAGTGTTAGAAGGAAGCCCAAATTAAAAACAATTCTCTCTCTCTCTCTCTCTCTCTCTCTCTCTCTCTCTCTTCCCCTGAGCTCTAATTGGTTGCTAGGTGGTGAACTAGCTTTTTCAAACACATAAAATAAAATTAATTAATAAACAAAAAAACCCTCAAACTCAACTCATGTCATTGTATGGGTTCTGACAGGGTAAAACTGCCCCTGTGGGATTCCGAGCCCGTAACTCTTTATGAGAGTAGAAAGCCTCTTCTTTCTCCTGCAGAGACGCTGGTGGTTTCAAACTGCTGACCTCGTAGTTAGCAGCCCAACAGGTAACCCACAGTGACACCAGGGCTTGAACACATTACCAAGCCAAGCTCAC